GTTTTAAACAGTTTTCGTAGTAGACCTCTGAGCAAGAGGGTTAAAATGAGTTCAGTAAGTGGTATTAAATCCCAACAACAAGCTGTTTTTCTGACTGCTAATGTTTTCCAGGCTTAGGAAGTGAAAGACTATGAATATACTAACTGCTGGTTCTGTGCGTCTCTCCCCAGTTTATCTGCGCTATGTCAGACCTAAACAAGGTGCGGGGCTCTCTGGAGGGACTGGGATTACAGATCACATCTGCAGGTTTGGAGTTTGTTCCTCGCAATCACTCTTCTCTGGACCAGGAGCAGATGGAAGCTGCTTCCACTCTCATAGAGGCCCTCACTGACTGTCCAGATGTAGTGAGAGTGTGGGACAACATCCAGGCCGACAGCTGAGACATTTGGGGGACACTGCATTTTTGAAATACCTGGAGGATTTGCCATCTGATACTTTTAAATAAGAGTGTTTGCTGAAAGCTGTGTGTGTTCCACAAAGAAGAGACATTTTCAGGAAGAAATCTTCAATGTTTTACCTGGAAAAACATTAAAAAGAATTAAACCCTTGGTACCATTAGGGAAAGAGTTGTTGCTTTTATTAGTCCATCCATGAAGAATATTATTTAGTTAGCGCTACAGGAACAAATCTGTTACAGCGTTGATAAAGAGTGAAAGGTTCAAATGAAAACATTTCCCTAGGATGCAGTAAATAGATTATCCCTCATCATAATCTAAAATCTATAAATTGGCTTTTCGTCCCTTAAATTAGGTTAACTGACAGAACTTTCCCAGATTTACTGTCAGCTCTGTCTTCAGTGTAGCTGGGGAGCAAATGCAAAGGGCTTGCATCCTCTGATATTGATTTTAAACATCATTTGTCAACCAGACAGTTAAACAATAGGATAATCTCAGAACTCCTTAATAGCAACGTCTTTGCAACGTCCAGCTTGACGATAGCGGAGATCTGGACATAAGACAAACCACCATTCATGCACTCATATTAACAGACATGGTAGAGAGACCAATTAAGCTAACTGATGTTTACGGACAGTGGGAGGGAAATGAAGTGCCCATTCGTTCACAGTGAGAGCAAACCTAAAACCTTCCTGCTGTAACTGCACCATAATGCAGCTTAACTCTAATACAGCTGGACGATCAAATCAGATGCTTTTCTTGTTTTTTTTCTTTCACTTTGAAGTCAAATATTTCCACTTAAAATGCCCTAATGTTTGTACTCTGAGATCTGGATAATTATCCTTGCAAAGCAAAGTGATGAAATAACTCCCTGCATTATGTGCCTTTATATACTCAAACAAATTGCTGTATAGATGTTGCTATTTAACATTTATTTGCTGGAATGAGAGAAAATAAAAGGGCTGGAAATAGTGTTCATATTCAGGACAACCATATTACTTTGAGGTTGCATGTTGAGGGCCCCTACATATTAAACTAGGATATTTACAGTATATCACCAAAATGAGTACACCCCTCACATTTCTGCAGATAGTCAAGTATATCTTTACATGGGAACAACAATGATGGCAATATCATTTTAACAAAATGAAAAGTCTGTTTATAGCTTATATAACAGTGCAAATGTAGTGTTCCCTCAAATGAATGCAATATATACAGACATTAATAACCAAACCCCTAAAGAGTGATTTCATGGGGCTATAGAAAAGCATGAAACAAAAAACAGGGCAATATTTTATCATTTATATTAGGAGAGCTGCAAAAGCAAAGAGTTAATTTTGGTTCACCACTGAATGAAGGGAAATTTCACGTCATTTAGTTTAAATAAAATTTCACATTGTTTTAATTGAAATTTGTAATTAATTTTACTTTACATAAAAGCCATTAAATTGAGAAAATGAGTTATAAGAAAAAAATTAAGTGCTGAATAAATATCTACTAAAGGATAAAAATGTATAATTCAGGAATATTACATATTTTTGACTTTTTTTAAATGTAAATTATGAGTTTTAATCAAATCAAAATTAGAACTTAACTAAACCCATGAAAATTCAAGTCATTTTTTTAAAAATTTGGTTCAAAATAACATTTAGCAGATGAAAACTGGGATCCTAACTCAGTATGACTGAAACTATTACCTTTGATTTAGAATCATAATTAAAATAAAATGAAGAAAATGAAGTGAAGAAAATAATGAAATGACTCCAATGGATTTATAAATCACTATGTCTGTTCCAGTGCATATCATCATTAGATTTTATTTCAGTATTATGTCTTCAGTACAGGGGCCATAACTGGGACCAGGACCATTTCTACAGGGGCTCTGGGCCCTGTTGGCCCCTATTTAGAACCAACCAGGCCCCTAAATGTCCAAACTGAGCACTGTTTGTCATTTTCCCTCCAAAATATTATGAAACACATTAGTGCAACAGGGTCTCAGCTGTGCATAGGGAGCAGGTGTCTTCAGTTTTGTAGTACAGTACAGCTCCTACATACTCTCTCATACAGGTCACTGACAGCTCCAGCATTGCAAAGACTCTCTGAGGATCTAAAAAAAGATGATGTGCTACAAGAAGATTGCCAAAACACTTAAACTGAGCTGCAGCACAGTGGCCTACTTGATCCAGCATTTTTTGAGCGAGATTGTTCTTTCAGTAGGGAGCGGTAACATCTGGAACAGCATCCCTCTCACTTTAGAGAATGCTTCACTTTTAACACATTCAGGAATCAGTTAAAAAAAACTGGAAAACACGATCCCCTCACTCCAGAAACTGGGTCACAGGGCACGAAAACAACCCAGAAAGCAAGGTTTAGGGGTGGCAAGCTCTTGAATATCCACAAGCTCCATGATGTTATGGAAAAATAGGAGAGCGTTCCAGTGGCAGCATGGGAAGTTCTGGTAAACGCTATGCCCAGGAGAGATAAGGCAGTTCTGGTACTGGTCAAAATAAAGACCCTTCAGGAACATTCAAAAAGGGCTGAACTCACTTTTGCTATGAGGAGTTTGGCTTTTAATGTCTGTATATTGTGTAATTTTGAGGGAACAATACATTTATACTATTATATAAGCTGAACACAGACAACTTTTCATTGAGTGCAGTGACATTTCTTCAGTGTTGTTCCTATGTAAAGATATTCAGTTTAGTTTATTTATATAGCGCTAATTCACAACACATGTCATCTCAAGGCACTTTACAGTTCAACCAGACCAACCTCGAGCAGAACCAGGCTGTGTGAGCAGCCATTTGCTGAGGCCAACTGGGGTTCAAGGAGACAGAAGCAGACATACAGAAAGAAGCAGGGATACAAAAGGCAACTGTCAACCGGCTCCACAGGCGGCCCCATCCAGAAAACACACAGCCAGGAACATGAGGTCCGAGCCAGCTCCCATATCAGGATGCAGAGAGCATATCTAGCCAGTCACAGTCAGAGAAACAGGACTACACTGAAAAACAGGTAGATCTTGAACTTCTATAAACAAAGGTGTTGATGGCAGCAGCATAGCTGCTATCTCTCTACAGAATTGTGTCACAGTCAAACAGGAATAGACCAGATGAAGCTACTATGAAAAAAAAAAAAAAAAAAAACAGAGAGCATACTGTCAAAGACTGAACTAAGAAATTCTGCAGTGGGAGAACTGAGATAAAATTAAGCAGAATAATGAAAAATGGGTCCCTATGTCCTCCAGCAGTCTAAGCCTATAGCAGCATAACTATAGAGATAGCTCAGGATAACCTGAGCCACTCTAACTATAAGTTTCAAAAAGGAAAGTTTAAAGCCTAGCCTTAAAAGTAGGCAGGATGACTGCCTCACAGGCTAAAACTGGTAGTTGGTTCCACAGGAGAAAAGCCTGATAACTAGCAGATCTGCATCCCATTCGACTTTTAGAAATTCTAGGAACCACTAGTAAACCTGCAGAATGACAGTGAAGTGCTCTTTTAGGAATATATAAGCATAAGCATATACATAAGGAACAATCAGATCTCTGATATAAGATGGAGTTTGGCCATTTAAGGCTTTATATGTGAGAAGGAGGATTTTAAGTTCTATTCTGGATTTAACGGGAAACCATGAAAACGGAAAAAATGGTAGAGCATTCATCCATCTTCTTCACAGCTGAACATATACATTCCTTCTTAAAACATATTTTTTACAGCTTTGAACTGACATAAAAGCATTGATGTTGAAGGTATACCTAAAGGTCACTATAGCATAATGTCATAATGGATCATTACCTTCTCATATTGCTATATTGTGAGCACCAAAGTCAATGACGACCAAAATAAGATGCATAAGCAGTAATGAAATGAATCTACGGTTACATGTGATCCTTTAACATGAACTCCCTTATGTAACGGATAATTAAATGTACTCATCAAATCAAACGCCTTCCAAGAACATCACTGTGCTGATGGGATGTTAAAAGGGAAACCCTGTGTCTGTCTCCCCACTGCGTTATCATCAATGCCCAGCATTGATTTTCCCCTTGCTTCCTGTGAACTTCAGCGTGGCATCGATTGGCCTCCAATATAGGCGTGCTGCGGGGCAGTCCTCTGCTTTGTGCCAGCCAGAACAGGGGGTTTAACACTGACAACAGCAGTCATACGGTGGCAACAAGAAGAGACTTTGTTCCCCCCAAACATTAATCCAGAATTCTAGAGGACGGAAAATAACACAGATTTTTTACGGATTGAGATTAACAACAATCTAACTTTCTGATTCCAATCAGGTATGTTCTGTTTATTTATTCTATAAGGTAAAGATCTGATCATCTACTAAGATAATAGCTGTATTAATGAGTAGCATAGGCTTATACTGGTAACTGTTCTAAAGAAAATCATACTAATAGACAGTAGGCTATAGAGCCAGAACACATAGATAATAAAGTCTTGGAATGTAAAAAAGTACAAAATGAGATCTAAGAATTTATCTTTGGTCATATTTTGTTGATCCTCTTTCATCCAGCCAAGGTTTAGATCTGCTCCCATGAAGGGTGAGGATCCGCCCATCAGGAGCCCTGAATGCTGTTCGCTTTCATCACCCAGGATGGAGCTGCTGAGCCCCCCACAGGGAAAGGATCACGCTCAGAACGTCACAGAGAAGGTCACGCAGGTATGAGGGGCGAGAAGCTCTTGTTGCCTTGTATAAAAAAAAAAAAAAAAAAAAATTAAAATATGTTTAAAAGGTTGAAGGTGAAAATAACATCAGTGTTTTTGTTGTTTAATGAAAATTTGCTCTGACTGAGAAAATTGGTCAAACAAGCTGGACTTTCAGTGTCTTTTTTTAGGCTAAATTGTGACTGGATTAGGGCTGCAACTAACGATTAGTTTGCAAATCGATTAATCTGTTGATAATCTTTTTCCGATTAATCGATTAATAATCGGAGAGTCAAAGGTTCCTCAAAGATTAAAACCAGGTGAAACTTAAACTTTCTCACTGAAGGAGTAATAATATTGACTGACAAAAACATTTTTTTATCTTAAATGCTTAATGTTTACATATTTCTTGGTATATCTACTGCTCTAAGTGGGTCGCTCTGTCAGCTAAAGGTGTGTTTACAGTCTCTATACTCCAGTTAATGATTAATTGATTACTAAATTAGTTGATGATTATTTCAATAATGGATTAATCACGATTAATCCGATTGTTTCAGGCCTAGACTGGATGCATGTGCTGAAATATTCAACTGGTTTTGGTCTGGATTTTCCATCTTTAAATGAAAAAAAAGGCTATGAGGATTTAGTGTTCAGAGACCCAGGATGGATTATGTCTGACTTCACCAACTCACTTATTCACCAGGAAACGTTGCTCTTCCTGTGACTCAGAGCCATCACAGTTCAGCGTAATTAGAGCTACCCTCTCTGAACTAGAGGAGAGACCAGGAGCTGATGCTAATTAACCCTCCAATGGAAAAATCAGTGGGCGGCTTGGTTGTTAATAAAGATGCATTGTCCAACAGTTCAATCTAGAGCTATGAGTGTTTACCAGCAAAGCCCCCCCTCGGGGCCTAACAGTTCTGCATCGCTGGACTGTGGACATTAAACAAATGCTTAAAAAAAAAAGGATGCATCAACCTATGACCTTCCAGTTCCCGTCTATCGGATGATCTATCTGTGTAATTTATGGATTCATATGGCTAACAGACATGGCTGGAAGGTCAGAGGTATTTTTCAGGAAAACAAATGTTGATTCGAAATTAGGCGATTAACTCAGCTCAGTTCATCCTCACAGCCCAACAGTCAGCTTGGACAAAATCTATCAAAGGACACTGATGACATGATGTCTTCAAGTAAATAATCTTTTTGACATCTTGACTTTTTCCAGGGGTTTCAATTTAGATCATGGTCAAGCTTTTATACCTACAGGGACAAAACAAAAGAACACGAGAACATAATGTCTTCTAGAAAGGTCTTGTTGGTACTTTTAGTTCAGTGAGACATAAGATGTCAAACTACTTAATAAAGTTGTGCATCGGATGTTAATGTGCATTAATAAGCAAGCATGAATGTCAATAGATGAGAATATTGTAATCCTTTATCTGTAGGTGCTTTCTTTGGAGTCAGACGTCCTTCCTGAATACAAGCTGCAGGTGCCAGAGACGGCTTGGTGGATCCTGCTTCACTACAGCCCCTTCAAAGCGTTTTGGGACTGGATTATTCTCCTCCTGGTCCTCTACACAGCTGTTTTTACTCCGTACTCAGCAGCCTTCCTGCTGGACGAACATGGCAACCTACGGCAAAGGAGATGTGGCTACACCTGTAACCCTCTGAATGTAGCGGACCTCATGGTGGACGTGCTATTTATTGTGGACATAATCATTAACTTTCACACTACGTATGTGGACCACAATGACGTGGTGGTCACGCAGCCGAGCCGGATAGCCAAGCATTACATCAAGGGCTGGTTTCCGATTGATCTGCTTGCAGCGACACCCTTTGACCTTCTCATGTCCCGATCTGGGTCTGATGAGGTGACAATACTGGTTTCTTTGCCATATTTTGCTATGCAGTTCTTTTACAAAAAGGTTATAATTCTTCCCTATTTTGTGTTTTATTTGGGATTGTATGTATTAAACCAACACAAAGTAGAGCATACTTTTAAAGTAATACATAAAAGAATATTCTCCGATTAAACGGAACAAAATATTCCTCTTTTTAATCTACATGGAAACATTGTGTGGCAGAAAACATCCTGAATACAGCATCCCTCTATTGAACACGGTAGTGATAGTGTCATGATGTGGGATTCTGTCATTTGCAGGTACAGAGAAGCTTTAAGAGTTGAAGGAAAGGTGGGAGGAGCTAAAATAATGACAATGCTAAAAGGTATAGTGGAGGATGTTCTTTTTCCAGGTGGATCATCAAAATAAGTGATTCTCATAATTGTCAATCATTCTGGTGATATGTTTACGTAAGGCTATCCTACGTGCTCGTCCCCATTTTCACTTGCCTGTGGTGAGTCTGACATAATAGAAAAATTTCAAATCTTCTTTTGGAACGTAAGCTTGTATGAGCGATGCAAACAGCAAACTTTAAACAAAGCGTGCATGAGGAGAAATGGGCTCCTGCATGCTCTGTCAAATGTTTAGACTTAGATTTATTTTGTCATTTTGTATGAATGTAAACAAAAACAAAATTTCATTTAAAACAGCTCTAGACAATTTATAAAGTGCAGCCTTGAAAAACATTAATAAATACATAAAAAGAAAGTAGTAATATAGATATATGACTGTATATTTACAGTTCTAACATTAATAGTTCATAATTTAATAGGTGTTCCCTCTCGGAACAGGATACAGGGTTATTCACGTGCATTTTTTTACCTGATACCAATCTAACTCTGATGAATGATCAGATTACTGACCGATCAATTACTGATGAATGCATGATTGATATTATGCCATGTGAGTGGAGGCTGTAGCATTGACATAAACATTGTTAATAAAGGGGAACTGTACACTCAGATCTATCTGATCGGTGCATCTATATTAAAAAGTACTAACCCATGTTTTGCTGAAAAAAAAAACGTGTATCTGTTGCTTTTTATGAGCTACTTTGTGTTTGACTCACACAATCCCAATAAAACACCTAAGTCCTAATATACTATAATTAAAAGGTGAGGAAGTTCAAGAGGATGGAATACCATGTCAGATTATTTGATCTAACTCTACCATTGTTTTTTTGTTTTTTCTGTTACCCATTGAAAACAAAGATGGTGACCTTAACAAGCTTGCTGAAAACAGCTCGGCTTCTGAGGCTGGTCCGCGTGGCCAGAAAGCTAGACCGATATTCTGAATACGGGGCTGCTGTCCTCTTCTTGCTCATGTGCACCTTTGTGCTCATCGCCCACTGGCTGGCCTGCATCTGGTACGCCATTGGCTTTGTGGAGAGGCCATACACAGAGACCGGCTGGTTAGACAACCTGGCCGAACAGGTAGGGAAGGCGTACAATGAAAGTGACGCCACCTCTGGCCCGTCGGTAAAGGACAAGTACGTCACAGCCCTCTACTTCACCTTAAGCAGTTTGACAAGCGTGGGGTTTGGAAACGTCTCGCCAAACACCAACTCTGAGAAGATCTTCTCCATCTGCGTCATGGTGATTGGATGTGAGTTGGATTCTACTTTATAGGAATGTCTGAGCTGCTAGACCAAGAAACACCTACAGAATCAATTAGAAGCTGAAAGATTGTCCCAGTCTGCTTAAAATATGAAATATTTTCTTGCAATGGTGTAATCACACTGGAAAAACGATCTAGAAATAAGTATAAAAATCTTAAATTAAGTATATTTACCCTTAATTTGAGGAGGTAAATAAGTACAGTAGTTTGCCAATGGAATGAGTATTTTCAACTCTTAAAATATATTAGATAATATGCACTTGAAATAAATAAGACAATGCTATTGTGTTTTCTTATTTTAAGTGTAAATTGTCTTGTTCCATTGGCAAAATGTATATTTTACCTACTCAATCCAAAAACAAATGCACTTATTCTAATAAAAAATTACTTATCTAGATTTTGAATAATTCCAGTGCACACAATTCACATCTAAAATACATATTTTATAGTTGTAAATTAAGAACATTCAGAGGGAATAATTGTTTAAAACTACAAATTGCACCATTATCAATCTATAAAGTAGATGTACCTGAACCATTTTGATTTTATTTTTATTTATTTTTTTTAATGTGATTTCAATATTGCAGTGCAAAAAATGTTAATGTAAAATTGGTCAATTTTCTTTGCCAATGGAATAAGACAATTTACATTTAAAATAAGAAAACAGCTGCAGTCTCTTAATTCAAGTGCATCATATCTAATTATCTTATTTTAAGACTCATTCCATTGGCAGATCATCTAATTTACCCACTCAAATTACAGGTAAATAAAGAATTTTAAGATTGTTTTTGCAGTGTAGGAAGATTTTAATCTGTGACCTCTGACAAACAGTAATAGACATGCACATAAAAGTGACTAAGGCACATCCCCCGAAATATGAAGAGGAAAAATCTAAACTAAAAGCCTTAATAAAGTTTATTATATTTCAAATTTTTGACATACACTTTTTTTCTTTAAAGTCTATAATAGTATATTAAATCTTTTCTTTTTTTAGTTAGTGCCAGAATAATGAGAGAGCAAAGGAAAGCAGAGAAATACTTCCTTATTTTATCCATTTAAATCTCTAGAGTTGTGCGCATTTGGTTGCAAGAACCCAGTTCTCCATTCTGGGTCTCTGGGCTATGAAAGAAAAACAGTCTCATTGGAATCTGCCTTTTTTTTAAATCGAATTTTAAACACTGAATTTTTTTAACAACGAATTTTAAACACTGAATTTTTTTAGACATTGAATTCCTTACACTCAATTTTTATCTAGTAAAAATTCACCAGAAAAAAATTCAGCTGCAAAAAAATTCAGCTGAAATTGGCCTCATACTGCGTCTTGGGCGCCGTATAATGGCAGCCCAGTGCTCCCAAAGGGGATGGGTTAAATTCAGAGTACATTTCTTCAGAGTCAGATCAATAAAGTCCATTTATTATTATTAAAATATCTATTTTAGACCAAACAAAATTTGGACTCCTTAAAAATCATTGAAACACCAAAAGGAATCCTGACAGATCCTAACGAGCCATATTGTAGGGCAAGATTTGTTGCCTGGTTACAGTGGAGGAGGGGGCCAGCTTCTTATTGACTACAACTGTACTTGTCTACTTGAAATGAACGATACTCTTGTAAAGGCAATACTCACTTCCCTGTACAAGAAAAAACTGCCGCTGACTTATTTTTTCTTTTTTTTCTACTCTGTCACAGCTCTTATGTATGCCAGTATCTTTGGAAATGTGTCTGCTATCATCCAGAGGCTTTATTCTGGCACGACCCGCTATCACACCCAAATGCTGCGGGTCAAAGAGTTCATTCGCTTCCACCAAATTCCTGGTGGTCTTCGCCAACGACTGGAGGAGTACTTCCAGCATGCCTGGTCTTACACAAATGGCATAGACATGAATGCTGTGAGTAGATCAAAGGTGTGTCCTCCTGTAGCACCAATAATCTGTATTCACGCGTTTTAGCGCTGACATGAGGACGGTTTTGATGTTGGGTTTTTTTTAAGGTCTTGAAGGGGTTTCCGGAGTCCTTGCAGGCAGACATCTGTTTGCACCTAAATCGCTCTTTGCTGCAGAACTGCAAGGCTTTCTGTGGAGGGAGCCAAGCGTGTCTGAGGACCTTAGCTATGAGGATCAAGACAGTCCATGCACCTCCAGGGGACACTCTGATCCACTATGGAGACTTCCTGGACTCTCTCTTCTTTATCTCACGTGGTTCCATCCAAGTCATGAAGAATTATGTTGTTGTAGCTTTATTAGGTACAAATATCTCACTTTAATCTTGAAACAATGATCAAACATTCTTCCTGAAAAACCCCATAAAAATGCATCTATCCTCCTGTAGAAAAGAATGACATATTCGGCGAGCCTATCCACCTGTATGATGAGCCGGGACGGTCCAACGCAGACGTGTACACCATCACCTACTGCGACCTCCATCGGATTCCGAGGGAAGACCTTCTCGACGTTCTGGATATGTACCCAAGCTTTGCAGACAACTTCTGGAGAAACCTGGAGATCACTTATAACCTGCGAGATGTACGTTGCCAGTTGGTTTATATAAAAAAACAATAAATGGAAAAAATAAGATAAAAGTTATTAAATAGTCAGGGAAAATTCCACAGGAGTTCTTATAACTAGTACAACATTTCACACGGTGGTCCATGTATTTTTATTACCGGTATAAACACAAAGTGGTGCATAATTGTGATTTGGAGCTAACCTTCAGAGGAATTATTTGGGTATTGTTCTAGCTGTTCTGCACTCAGGTTTTTAATCCATGCCTTAAATAATCAGTAATATTTAGATCTGGGCTTTAACTGGGTCATTTTAGCATATGATTACAGTTTGTTCTAAATGTCCTTTTTAAATCTCCCTGTGTTTCGCGTCTCTCAGCTCCCAGAGGCTGAATCTCTGGCCCAGTCTCTACTGTTGTCCTTCCTCTAACAGGTTTTCTTCCAGAATCTCTTTGCATTTAGCTTCATCCATCTTTTAATCAACTCTTACTGGGCCCCCTTTTACTATTGAAGAAAGGCATCAACACAGCATAATGCTGCCACCACCCTGTTTCAGAGTGGGAATATTCATCCTTTCAACAAATATCATGGCCCTCTTGGCTGCTTCTGTAAAAATTGTCCTTATTGTCTAGCCTGTCACTTTAGATGATCATTTTTGTTAAATTTGCAGTTCTGTTATATCTGTTGACGGAACAGAGCTATGTCAGATATTAAAAACCTTTAATAACTTTAACATTTTTCTACCACATCCCATAGCTCAAAGATGCTCCCTGACTTTTTAGCCCTTCACAAAACAAAAGTTTATGGTTTTTTTTTTTTTTTTTTGCTGACTTCATTTTTTATTCATTTTTGTGACTTCTGATGGTAAGAGGCTGCATTTTATTCAGGGATTTAAGAGAAAAGCAAGCTTAACACAAATGCATTTGACACATTTCAGACTTTTATCAGTGAGGAAAAAACAAACATTTATCCTTCTTGTTTTGTTTTCTACTTATAACTTGTTGAAAAAAATGCAGAAAGGTTTTAGGGGTATTTTACAAAGTTTTATATGTGATGATTTAACTCTGGATAATGTGATTAGCAGACTGATCAAATGCCTCCAATAATCACTGATGAATCTGGGGAGGATGATGAATATCGCCACAAACCCAGGCACAAAGTCCACTCCCTTGACTGCAGAATAAGACCAGGTAATTAAACGTCACTTTAAATAAAGCTGTAATGACATATTTTCCAGCACTACTCTTCCTGCCTTAAATGTAGTGGCTGCAATGGTGAGATGGGTCATTGATAGAATGACTGCTTTGCTGTCATGCTCAGATGGAATCGATCATGAAGACACGTACCCTCATCGCTCCTGCCATCACTCACCTCCTCAGGCCAGCTGGGAGGACCCCTGGAGCTGTGACTCCTCCTGTTCTCGGTCCAGTGAGGGTCTGTCGAAGCCCAACACTCAAAGCTCCAGACTGGAGCATTGTCCCACTGAAGATTCCAGTCGGCAATATTCCCCCTCTGTGGCTCTACAGCTGCCTCTAAGTGGCGCTTCGGTGGGGAGGGACCAGAGTCAACAAGGTAGATCAGAGTCTTGATTATGTTTGCATAAATGTTGCATTTTAAACATGCATTACCAACAACTTCGGATTTTATATGACTGTATCGTAAGGAATCTCTCTTCACCTTCATTTTTGTCTCCTTTTAGCTTTGGTTCTGCATCTTTCACACAATTTGGCCAGGTTTTTCATTGAGGGAATTTTCTTTTTCCAAATTTTTAATATGTCCTTGAACTCTGTGTCCATTTAACTACCTGGTACCATGGAATCCCACTCAAAATGCATTTTTTTGCACACGGATCTATAAATAAGTTTTTAGTGTTTAAATTGAATTGAACATTATTGATCTCACATTGAAGAAATTTATCTCTGCATTTAACCCATCCACTTAGGGAGCAGTGGGCTGCCATTGTGCAGCGCCCGGGGAGCAGTGTGAGATTAAGGGTCTTGCTCAGGGACCCAGAGTGCCAATCTCAGGATTCAAAGCCCAATGCCCTAACCACTAGGCCGCCACTCCCCTCTTTACATTACCTTGTTTACTGTTAAAATGTCAATTGTAATAATGGTACAGTCACAGGAATCCAAAGCCCTTTACACTATATTTACCCTTCATGCACATGTTTAATGGAAGTATATGACATTAGGTTTTCCTGTTCATTTCAAGTCTTTAAATTTATATTTATGTAAAATCAACATGTTTTTAACAATTAAGTTGGTAAAAATCAAATCTAACAGGTGATGCATCTTGATTTATTGACCTTATCATGTATTTTATAGCTTTTCAAAGCAATTTTTACTGATATTTTTACCCATCATTTCTAATTTGAATAAAGTTTTACTTTTCTTCTTTTTTATTTCATGGTGGAAAAAATTTAATCCGGCATGATTTCCAGTACATTTAGGTATTTTGTAAATGTGATCTTTTTTTATTCTGGAGAACTCGCATTTAAACTGTTAAAAATGAAGAAATGTTTGATGATTTATTGTAAAACTTTACATAAATTGGCACAATTAACAACAAACAAATTGCTTTATAATGTTTTTCTGGCAGACATTTTTAGAATAAAAAAGAATTCAGCTTTATTGTCATTACACTGTCACAAGTACAAAGCAACGAAATGTAGTTTGTATCTATCCAGAAGTGATATACAGGATATAAATATTTACTTACATGTGCAGAGAGAATATGCATGTATTGACTATGAATGGTATATAAAAACAGAGAGTAATTGTAAGAGGCTATAAAATGAATAAATATTGAAGCTATATACAGATGATAAGGGAGAGTTAGGATATGGATTATATATATATATATATATATATATATATATATATATATATATATATATGAGTGAGGTTATAATACAGGATAAATAATGACAGATAATAGAGGATAAAAGATTTGCAGATTATGTACAGCTATAATTGAGAAGTATGTGTGTTTTTTTTTTGTCTCCAATGAGATATCTGTTAGATAAAAGATTTTACATAGACATAAAATCATAACAGTTATTGTTGCTGCTAAATTGTTGACATTCCTGCGCTTCCGTGATTCCCCAGATGATTTTTATTAGCTCTCCTTTCTGTTTTTCTTAGGTTCACCCTTGGATCTGCCAGGAATGTATCGATACTGGCCAGTACAGCAACAGGTTTCCAGTCATGTTTTATCCTCCTCCATCGATAACCCAAACGCCCCACCACTGATCGCAGAGGAGAGGCCAAGTGAGCTTGAATCTCAACTTGAAGTTCTCCAGTCACAGCTTAACAGGTAAGCTTTTGACAGATCAGTTAATTACCTCCTTCCTGCTTCATCTAAATCTAATTTAAGAGCTTTTCCTATTCTAAGACAATGTGCTTGCAGTATGTTCCAGTGTGTTCTGTTAGTGAACAGCTCCAGCTGCCATGGTTTCCTTAAATCACCTGAGGCAAAGCTCTAATCTGCATGCTGGTAGTCATGGAGGTCATTAAGTTCTTTCTCTGTGAACTCCATAGGCTGGAAACTCGTATGACGGCCGACATCAACGTCATTCTCCAGCTTCTACAGAGACAGATTGCTCCAGTTCCCCCAGCATACAGCACCGTGTCACCCAGTACGCTGCCCATTGACTCATCTTCTCTGTATGGGACTGGGGCTCCAGCATTGCACAGCATTTATCCAGATTCCCCAGATCAGATGGACAGCAAGGTATCCAAACAGGTATGGAACCAAACTGAAGGACCATAAAGGACATATTTTGACCTGGATTAATGTTTTATAAAAGTCACAGAATAATCTTAGTTTTTTCTTTCTCTCCCTTTAACTCAGATATTGGACCAGGTGGATCTTAAATCCTCTAAGAAGTCTCAGGAGTCCTTATCCAGTGGCATCCACATGACAGCAGCCTCTGATGACACCACGTTTATGACTGTCACCCCTGAAACTGAGACTTGTGTTGGTTTAACCTCCTCGTTAACACAGAAAATCCCCAAATCAGTACCTGAACCCCACTCTAGACTGTGTGAGACTGTCCGCTACCCCTCTTTACCCGTGAACCTGGACCTGACCACAGGACGGGCTGAGATCCAGAAACATACCTCAGACCCGGTGCTGCCTGCAACCTGATTGGTCGGCTTCACCTGGAAAGGACTCAAAGTTTCTCTCAGGTTTTTGGACAGAAGTCATACAAGAAATCTACCCTGTTTTGTTTCCAGCAGCTATCGGTCAACACGTGAAAGGAAAAATTACATGCAGTGCCTTGTAAAGGTGCCATTAGTGTTTTCATGTAACAACCTCAAGCTTTGTTTGGATTTATTGGTATTTAATATGAAAGACCAACACAAAGTAGTGCATAGTTGTAAAATCAAACAAAAATACCTACCGGTAAATACCAAGAGTATCTTGGTGCAAGTTCAACCTCCCACTAATTCTTTGTATTCTCCCTTTATCTTCTAATTAACTCCTTTCATTCAGTCTCATCAGATTCCATTTTCTCAATTCAGGGTCAAATGCAGTTTTTTTTCTTTCCATTTTTTTTTATACACATGCGGTTTTGAACGGGTCAGATAATTCAGTCTTGATTCATATGATTTGTGACTCCCCTACATAGTTTAGTGCAAACTTGAAATTATATATTTGATATTCATTAAGATGTGATTTGATGAGAGCATGAAAATGAATATAAGCTTCTCCTACCTGAGCCGTCTCATCTCTGCAGCTCTTCTAGTTACAATGGGCCTCTTGGCTGCTTCTCTGATTGACGATGTCCTAACACATTATTCACCAATTGTTTCCATCTGAAGGTATTGATTTGACTCTAAGAAAAACAAAATAAAAGAGTTTGAATACAGAGATATCTCTGAAATTGTATTTAATGTTTGAAGAATATATAAAGCTATTTTAACACACATTTATCACAAACTTTTTACTTTTTTTATTTGTAATATGGACCTAATAGTTTTCTTATAAAGATCAGAAAGATATTTTTAGAAAAACATTTTCTTGTTAGAAAGTAAACCCATGAAGTTTTATAGGAGTCAACAAGCTGCCACAGAATTTTGTGTTTTGTGGTTCTAGATATTTCGGTAATTGTCTCACTGGGCTTTGTGCAACCTGCCTGGGTGTGCTTTGGGGGCACAGTTGTTAGCATACATGACCCATGTATGGATGCCTTAGTCCTTGACGTGGCCGACCCTGCTTCGAATCTGACCTGTGGTCTTTTGCCGCATGTCTCTCCCCCACTCTCATATCCCCTTTCCTATTAGCCTACTGTCCAAAAAACAGCCATTAGTGCTGTAAAACATTTTTAAAAAACTGCCTAAATGTGGTTCACTTTGTTTCCCTGGAGGGTCCAGTACCCCTGCAGTTCCTCCTCAATTGGATCAAATTCCTTCTCCCCTCTGAACAGAACATTTTCATTTCATTCTCATTGATGCATAATTACCACACTATCCAATCTGCATGAGATAAGGTAAACATCTTAGGCTGTAACAATAAAAACTATAACTTTATTTTAACAATATAATTCAACGTTTATATATATTAATCGCATCAAGTTTGTGATTAGAAAGCATATAGTTTTTTTTTTTACATGGATGAAAAATGTTAAAATATTATGTACTGTATTCTGATAGTTTTTTAAATGATCAATTTTCTTCATTATACATCACTTCCAAAGCTGTAAAGTTAAAGATGTTAAGTTCAACAGCTGTGAATACTTTTATAAGCCAACATGAATGCTTGCAGGTGGATCTTTATTCGCCACATTTACATAAAAAATATCAACATTTAAAAACATTTTACCCACCTTTTTTATTTTAATAAAATTCTGTTAAATAACCTTCACATAAGGCATATACATTTGTATGATGAAGCTTATTTGAAATACATAATCAGGTCTTTGTATTTAGTATTAAATTGTAGTTACTCAAAATGATTACGAATGTATTTATTTAAATATATTTATCATTTGAATCACACAAAGATAACCCGGATTCATGAGATTCAACAATAAAAAAAATATTTGAAATATTCAGCATAAATTTTGAGTCAGTGTTCAATAATTCTAATTACATAAACTAAACAATTATGTATTTTAAATAAATAAGCAATATCAAAATTATGAATATGCATCATATAAGGTTTATCTAATAAGCTAATAGCTTTGTTTTAAAATGATCTAAAAGTAGATTAAATGGGAATTTGTCATGTAATAAGAGAATTTACATTTTCAAATTTGAAAGATTTTTGTGAGTTCACACAAACTTCAGAAATTTTCCTCCTGAATAATATCTGAAGACAGTTATCAGTATTTTTACAGACAGAAACTGATTTATTCTCACAGAATACCTTAAACCTGATCGATAGCGAGCCAGCAAGTAAATACCCATTAGCAATAAATTAATCCCACTCATTAGTTCACATACAGAATTATCCTAATTGGAACAAAAAAGGGTCATTTTTTTCTTTTAAATTAATCCTAAACTGCACTTCTAGCAGTTTTTTAAAGCAACATTTATTTTTTTTAGTAATGAAATAAACGTAGCAACAAATGAAATATCGTATAAATCTTGAATAATTACAAATTCAATGAAGATCAGTACAGCAGATTCCACAAAAAGAACCAGTTAAAGGTAAACTGCAGTCCATTTTCTTCAGCAGATGAACACAATGAGCCAATAGCAACGATCATATTAAAGCATGCATACAACTGTAGCTTATCTCCTAGACGACGATAAAAGCTTAATTGTTTTTAATCTTGTGTGTTGGTCTTACACAAGTAAAAGTAACAGTCATGTAATTATTTGAGTTGCACGGGGCTGTTTCTCACAACGGAGCCAAAATCTCAACAGGTTTATTTCATCAGGAGGTAGAGAAGGCAGCATGTGAACTTTGAAAACGTGGAAGCTTCTAGCACTGGCCTGGATTTTTTTGTATTTAATCCTGTCTCAACTTGCAGCATTGCACTTTATTCATTCTCAGGAAAAGCATCTTGTAAATACTCTGTATTAATGTTTGCTTTCCATCAAGTTACTGAGGCTCCATCTTTGATGAGCACCTATCTGATATCATAAACCTCCTATTTGTTAAATGATATACCAGTTATTGGTTGTGCAATAACCCTAATTAGGGTTAATAATTTGCTTATCCTCCCATGAGAAATAACCTCTTGCTCCATGTGAAAAATATTTTAGACCGTGAGGCATTGAGAGACTTCAGAAATATGCATTTTCCTTGATTGAATCCATTTTGCAGAGCTAAATATGACTTTGGATAGAATGATTCAGCGCCCTCTACAGGACTGCAGATAAACAGTGTGGCAGCTGTAGGAAAAGGTTTGTTGATTTTCACTAACTTACTGTTTCAGATCTTTGGAGAAATGAAATGACAAGCTTGAAAGATCCTTTCAGTGTCCTCCAGTTTTCCTGTATCATAAAGTGGTTGATATTCAGCTCCATAGTTTCTAATCCACAGTTTTATATTTAGCCTAACTGCAACTGCCATGCTTTTAACAAACAATACATCCAAATAAAGTCACACAAACAGCATTACAAAGATTAGCATCAAAATGAAGCCAGAAGTGCAAATTGAATATTCTTCCAAAAAAGTTTTTTCTTTATCCAAATTCCTGGCAGCTGAGAATATTTCTGAGCTGCTTTATGTCTCGTCTCTGTGTTTTGCTCCTCAGACTCTGAGGATTTCCAGGCAGTTGTTGTAACAGATTGCAATCCAGTCGGGCTGGGTGGAAGCCCACTGCACGTTGTTGATCTCTCCCTCTGCGGTGTAGGCCAGTATGGGGTCCTCTATGGCCCGCGGCATCTGCTGGATGTCCCAGATTAAAGCTTGGTGGTCGTCGGCTAAAACAGAGCAGGGGGTGTTTTAACAGATCAGTTTTTTCTGTTTACACAGAATGTAAATACTGAAACTTAAAACAATGATTAACTGTTTTCCCCTTTTTAATAAAATGTGTTGAACTTCATGTTGTCCTCAAAGTTAGTTGCTGCATATTAATGTTTCCTCTACAGAAGTTTGTTTAAGTCAGATTTAAAGAGAGCTGCAGACCTGCTGTACAGATATGACAGGAGGAGTGTGGCGCCCAGGCGACTCCATTCACACAAGCTCGATGGTTGCTGAGTTTAGCCACAGGTGTGCAAGGGACACGCACATCCAGGATCACCACCTGAGAACACAAGGGGGAATGTCTGAAAATACAGCTGCACAGGCAGATTGCAGAGTGACCCCAGAGAGCTCACCTCCATGCTGTCCATGGCCATGGTAGCCAGGTAGTTAGGGTCCTGCTTGTTCCAGCAAAGCCGCAGCAGTGGGTGGTGCTGAGGATCCTCGTAGATGATCGTGCTGTGCTCAAGGTGACGGAGGTCAAACATGCGGACCGACCCGTCTGCTCCGACAGAGGCAAACATGTCCCTGCCCCCACCAGCTCGACTAAAGGAGATGTCATACACCTTTAACGCAAGCAGAGATGAAGACCACTGTTCTGTTATTCACTCGCTAATGTCAACAGTATGGATCCAGTAGTACATGCATTTGTTCAGAACGGTCTCAATACAGGTCACTCATGAATATATGCCGACAAAGAATATTTTAGGTGAGACATATGACAGCTTGACTGTTCTAAGTCTAGATCAGAATAATATCAAGGGGTCAGATAAAACCAAAATAAGATTATTTTGGTACAAAGGCAAATGAACACAATACCTACTTTGAAGCATAGAGGTGGAAACATCATGCTGCGGGGTTGTTTTTCTGCATAGGGGACAGGACGACTGATCCATATTAAAGGAAATCAAATCAGGGCCATCAGTGATGTGTTTTCATTACAAATATGCGAAAACTATGTCAATATTTAGCTCATTTTGAAAATGCAATTTTTCGAATTGCTTTTTTATTTCCTTTGAATAAGAAATACAACCAAAATTGAAAGTGAATATGTTTGTTGACGTGATAAATCTTGAAAACAACATGGCAGGGATAGATGTAAACACCGGAGATAGATCCATATGTCAGCCTTTGTTCCGGTACTCATCGCAAATAAAACATAAAAAGGTCAGTTTTCTCCTTAATTACTTTTTTTTTTTTTTATCTGTATCCAGCGTTGTGCATGAACACGTTCAATGAATGGCATTCACTAAATATGTTCATATTTTTAGTGAACAGTCAACTGAACAGATCAGTTTTGAAGTAAGAAACGAGCAACACACACAGCTCATGTTCATGTTCAATTAATAACAACGCCTTTCATTGCTTACCGTCAGGTTTTACAGGACTTATTACAGCAAACAGCAGGACAGACCAGT